GCTGTTGTCATACCCCCGCCGGGAATCGAACCCGGAACCTTTGACTTTACGCACCAAATTATGTACAGTTACAGTACAATTACCTCAAATTACAACAGCAACAACAAATGACAACAGCGATAATTTTTCCCTCATTAATTTGAGGTAAATAAAAAATCGAAAAAATGATTTCAAAGTTATATTGCATATTAATCCACTATTAAATAACTAACAATGTCATAGGATGCAAACTTGTACACCGAACACATTCAGAACAAGTCTCCTCAATCTTAAAATTTTAAATGCATCATGGAATTGGCATTTAGATACTTGGTAAAAATTCTTTATACATAAAAAAATAAAACTTGTAAAATTAAGTTTTTGCTACCTCCACTTAAAAAAGCTACTGTGTATAACATACAGTGTAATGAAAATTCGGCAGTTATTCTACCACCAATAAGAACAGCAAATTTGCTTACGACACTGTAGAGTACGAGATTATGCATAATGAAACTAAATGAAATATTAGCTCATACCAGTGGCGGCTCTGTAATAAAAGCAAGTGAGCTATTGCACCCCTCGAATTTTAAAACAAAGCAAAGCAAGCGGCGGCTGACCGCGAAACTTTAGGCATTATTATACATGGTTTGCGAGCTGATAGTTCAGTTCATTGTCAAATGAGCAAAAACTGGAGACGCATTTGGAGCAAGCGTTTTACTTTGCTCAAATTGTGTACCGTCGGAAAATGAATGCCATGTGGACTTCGCGGTAAAATAAATAACAAGTAGGTAATAAATTAACAAAACTGGGCATTGTTGGTCTATTACATTTATTTAAATACACAATTTAATTAAACATTAATCAGCTGTGATGCTACAAATACGAACTGGACAAATAAAACCATACATATATTCACGCAGCTAGTTCGATATTTATTTTTCGGTAAACAACATCAAAACGTGCAATCTATCTAATGGCGTTTCATATGGTCGGCAAGACTTCTTTCGTGTTTGAACGACTTTTCGCAAAACTGACACAGAAATCTCAAACCCGGAGGTCTCGTGTGAACTTCCTCTTCGTGCCTGCGCTTATAATCGTTTCTTTTAAACGTTCGTTCACAATAATTACATTTGAAGAGTTTGTTGTTACTGTGTAGTTGATAATGTCTCTTCAGATATGCTTCAGAATAAAAAACTTCGAGACAAATGTTGCATCTGGCGCCCGAAGCGTCTTCTGAATGTCCCCAATTCAAGTCCCTAAAAATAATCAGCAATAAGATTTCATAACCTTCTCCTCACTTTACATATTTAGTGTCCTTACTAATTAATTCAGAGCTAGGGTATAAAACACAATTGCAATTTAGGAGCGTTCTAACCGACACAAATTTGATAATATAATCACTTTGAGTTTAAATAATAGTAATACTAATAATTACGGTAAAGTGGTTTCCACAACGCATCCAAAAAGATGTGAGTGAGCTTCTTTGGCATCTTGCTCAAAGTTGACCAGTGAAATTTGAGAAGACCGGATGATAATAATAAAATAACAATTCTGCAATTGTTTTGGTGAAAAGTTCAATAATGCAGAGCTTCAATTGTCCACATTAAGATGTGGCAAAATGCAGCTAATTGTAATAGTCCAGCGTCCAGATCATTTAATCAATATCGAATAAAATAGTGGTCTGTATTCTGTCGAAACTGCCAGACGCGGATCGCGATTTCGATCTTTTTGGATCTCATCAGCGCGTCGCAGGCAGCCCGACAGAACACAGACCAACTTTTACCTGCTGTCTTAACAGTGCGTTTTAGAAAATATTACAAATGGCGCAGTAAACGCCATCTGTAGCCCGATGTTACGTTTTAGGATTACATATGGTCCAACAAGGTCCACTTGTGTGGATATTTACTTGCTGAAAACAAATCCCGGCGTAGCCAACCTCAACGTGATAGGCACGTTAGCTTAATGGAATAAAATAATTCGAAGTAGTCTGTATTCAATCAATATCGTTGATGTCACTGGTGTCACAATTAGAGCAAGATTTGTAACGATTCATCAGATAGCTTTTGGTGATGATTTCGCAGTTTAAATAAAACATTTAAGTAGTTGGTGCACGTGAATCCTTTTGCACAAATGGGACACATCCGACCTTTATCTCAGCCATGCATCCTCGTATGATTTTAATATTATACTAGAGATGCATTTCTTGCGTTCTTAATGTTAAATAATACAAATGAGCAAGCGTTTTAGTTTGCTCAGAAGTTGCAAACGGTAACAGTCAAAATGAATTCCATCTGTTTGAGTAGACATAGAGCCTCCTTTGCGGTTAACGAACAATGGAAAAATTGTAGTGAAGTCATATGGCTGATGCCTTGTCTATGTTTAGTATATAAACAATAAGTAGGTAATAAATTAACAAAGTTGGGAATTTTTGGTATAATACAGTTTATTTAAATATACGATTTAAGCGATATAAATATAAATATTAGACATTATTTCGATGTGATACTACAAATGAGAAGTGGATAAATAAAACCGTACACTTATTTACGCAATTGGTTCCACTTTTAGCTTTCGATTAACAACATCATGTTTCTTTTGCTTATGAGTATTTAACGCATTCCTGCTAATAAAACAGTTTACGCAATTTGTATGGTTTTTCTCCAGCATGTGTAAATTGTTTATCGCAAAGATCGCATGCAAACTCAAGACAAATATTGCATCGGACGTCTGAAACGTCGTCTTCAAGCCTCAAACTTCATAAGCTTATTTATATACACGTATTTAGTTTTCTGACTAATTAATTCAGAATTGACAGTATATAATACAAGTACGCTGGGATATTTGCAATCTATGACCACTGTAATCGACGAAAAACTTGACCACAATTATTTCGAAGAAAGAACAGTTAAAATAATAGTGATAGTAATAATTACAATAAAGTGATCCAAAAAGATCTGGGTGACGTTCTCTGGCGTCTTCACTTGCTGAAAGTTAACCAGTTAAAACTGAGAAAACCGGAAGACAACAACAGTAATAACAGCGTCACAATTGTTTTATTGAAAATTTCAATAATACAGAACAATTGTCTACGTTTATGAGGACTTGGGCAAAACATTACGAAAGAGACTATGTCGCTATTTCCAGATATTCTGAAATTTAGTCAATTTCGTTGATGCCACTGATGTTGCAATTAGTACAAGATTTGTAATGATTCATCAGGTGGCTTTTAGTGACGAATGTTTTCCCGCAGCGACAGCGGTAAGGACGCTGACCCGTATGCGACCGCATATGAACGGTAAGACTGGACCTCTGAGTAAAGCTTTTCTTACACTCTTTACACTGGTACGGTTTTTCGCCCGTGTGACTCCGTAAATGGACAGTTAGGTAGTTGGCGCAGGTGAAGCCTTTTCCGCAAATGGGACACACTTGGTTCTTATCTCCGCCGTGCATTTTCATATGATCTTCGAAGACCTTCTTACCGCTAAGCGCCTTACCGCAAATCGTACACACGTACTTCTTCGGCTGATTATGCGATTTAAGATGACCGCGAAGATTACGATCGGTTAGAAACGTCTTACCGCACACGTGACACACCAAGCGTCTATTCTGATGATAGTTTGGTTCGTGCGTCAAAATGTGCTCATTCAATGACGATACCGATCGTAACCGTGCACCGCACACTTCACACACGTGAAGTAAATCGTCGTGAAAAATGTCCTTGTGATGTTTATAAGCTGTTTCCGATATAAAACCTTTGTTACAAATGTTACAGTACGAGACGTAATCGCGTGTATGTTTCCGCCGATGAACGTTCAAATGGGATTTGTGAATGAACATTTTGGAGCAGATGTCGCACTGAAACGTCGGCTTGCTGTGACATCGTTTGTGAATTGTCACTTCGTATCTGTGCCTGAACGTTTTTTCACAAACATCGCACGAAAATGGGCGTAAGCCGAAGTGATTCATAAGATGATACCGAATTAATTTTTTCGTCGTGAAACTTTTACCGCACTGATCGCACTTGAATTTTCTCGTGCTAATTCTTCCCTTGATATTTTTTTGGGAAGACATAACACGACTTTCGTCTTGCACATGCCTCTTTTGCTGGTACAATTTATCCAACGAATGCGAGCTCGTTATTTTATCATTGACTAGCGTTTCTAGAGTCGGTCCCGCTCCGTATGTGTTGTTTCCGATAATAAAATTATCAAAGTGTTCGCTGTTTATGTTTTGCAAGAGTGCAGAACATTCATCTTCCACTACCAGTAAATTAAACAATTCGTTATCGGTGTCGTCTACTGCACCGTCCAAGTAGGCTACATCGCTTAAACCGATGTTTCCGACACTGCGATCCATCATTGCGTTGAATGACGTGGTAAAACTTGTCTGTCCATAGCAAGACCTGGAAATGAAGGCATTAGTGGCTTGGCCATAAAATTAAAACTTTGCAAAGCATTAATTTATTCGCACCCCTTAATAAAACAACCATTATAGTTTTTAATATATCACCCATGTCGCGGCGAATAAGTATTTCCTGGACCCAAAGTTCCCGATTTTTATAATAAGTTAAACTGGTATGCAATGGAAAAAAAAGTAGGGAAAGAGCGAATGTAAAGATAGGAGACGAAAGATAAGAAGAAGTGGCTAATTTTAGGTATCTAGGAAGTCAGATAAGTCTAGACGGAAAGAGTAGTAGGGATATAAAGCACAGGATAGCGCAGGGTCGAGTTGCCTTCAATAAAAAGAAGTCACTTCTATGCTCGAGAACGATTAATTTAGAAATTTGAAAAAGATCGTTAAAGGTGTATGTTTGGAGTGCGACGCTGTACGGGTGCGAATCATGGATGATGGGCGCGGCATATAAGAAAAGGTTGGAACCGCTCGAAATGTGATATTACAGGCGAATGATGAGGATACCGAGGATAAAGAAGGTTAGAAATGAAGAGGTATTAGAAAGAATAGGAGAACAGAGGACTCTATGGAAGTCAATAAGAAATAGGCGAGATATGCTAGTAGGACACCTTCTCAGACATGAAGGTCTAGTCAGAGACATATTAGAGGCAGAAACAGGAGTTAAGAAGAGTAGAGGTAGATCTAGATTAGATTACTGTTCGCAAATGGTTAAGGATGTGGAATGTTCTAGTTTTAGGGAAATACGACGATTAGCTGAGAATAGGAAAGAGTGAAGGTGTGTGTCCAACCAGTGTTAGAACTGACGACCTTATGATAATGAAAATAAACTTAAAGTTAACTCTTACCTTGTCCATACCATCCTACAAAATAATTGCAAATAATAGCACTGTAATCCCTTTGGAGAAGGTTATTTCTATAATTTCAAATATCTATACAAATAAATAAGACCTATACCTACATCATTTCAGGCTTGAAAGATAAAATCTTAAATAACGACGTTAAATAGTAATGAATCAGTATAGTATTAACAGAAAAGTAACTTAAAATTAAAATACATTAATTCATTTTTGTAGTTCTATAGTTATAGTTTATGTTATGTATATACAATACTTTCTAATTGTTAGTACATATTCAAAAAAAATATGGTTTTTCCCTGGTGTGAACACATCCACGACCGTCAATGTTCTGAATCTCATAAACTTGAACACCTGACCTTTGCGGGTGGCGAGCTGGGCAACCGTCCGGTACCCCGCTCTTGAAGTAGCCTCGCGCACTCGCGAAATGAATAAAGCCGCCCCTACAGCAAACAATACAAGCGAATCCATGCGTGTTTATATGTTCCTTCCATAAATAATTTATGTTTACTTCTTCGTATTCGATATGTTATCATGTTACACTGTTCCGCCTTACCGAATGCCATTTGTAACAAGTAGTATTCTACACTGACCTATGACAGTGACACACTGACCTACTATCAATTACTTCAACATACTACGTACACACAAGCCTACAACGTTTAAGGAATAAACAACAACTACAGGCTGATTGTAACATAAACATGGTCATTCATACGTAAAATAACGAACAATGCGCGAACATAAAAATAAAAAAAAAAACACAACAGAAATGCGACGTCGTATTTTCCTGCATCATCTTTTAGATACATTTTTCTCGAAAACGGTAAACTTTCAGACCACCACTTTAATTTTCTTGTTTTACAGGAGGTAATACCTTGCCATTTATTTCAATAACAAACACTCTGTAATAAAAAGTAAGCCACTGGAAATGTATTAAAGTTTATATTTTATTTCACAAAAAGAACATAATAATGTCGTAATAATTAAATCGTTTGCATGTAGCGTTTTGACTAATCATGAACATTGTCTACCAAACCATCCGATACAGTTTGATTTTGGTCATACTGAACGATCACTAGTTTTCCTAGGTGTTGTTGCCACATTGTTACTCGCCTCAAGCAAATCCATACATTGACTGATCTGCATTTCGTGTTCTTTTTTCAAATTCGTCTTTATAGTCACCACGTTGTACTTGTGGTACCGAAATTGTACAATTCTAGTATTCCTCTTTGGATAGAATTTTTTATCGTGAAAACTTCGCAAATGGATTCGCAATTCTTCAAATGTGAACGCACTATTAGGACACGAAGTGCACTTAAAACCTCTTTCGTCTGAGTGACTTACTCGTAAATGCTCTACAATTGCGCACGGTGAGCCAATCTTCATACCACAATACCTGCAGCTCCACGGGTTAATTTTTGTTATTCCTTTCGAAGTTTTCACATTCGTCTCTTGGCTCGTTTTTAATTGCTCTTCAAATAAATTTATCGCTTGTGGCCTGATATTCTTTTTACTTTTGGTTAGTTCTTTTTTACTCGGCTGTACGTCTGAAGCACTGTCTGATGTGCTGCTGCTGCTGCTTTCAGTTACTTCATATTCGGATTCTGTTTCGTCTGGTTCATCCGAACTTTGAGCGGAATCTTCAGAAAGTTCATCAGTTACCTCCTTACGAATATTGCCTTTTTTATCAGGAATACTGTCTTCCTGTTTTGAAAAAATAGCCTCAACCGTTTTATGGAACTTTTTATGTTCCTTGTATTCTGCCAACGTGGAGAAAATATCGTAACATAAATCACAATACCAATTAAAAGGGTTCTTTACATTTTCGCCATTTACATTTTTCGACGACAACCTGGTGCTTCTACGTAATGAACCTTCCTGCAATCTGAAATAACAATATTAATATTAATAAAATATACTAATTGGTGTATGGTATTTAAAAATATAATTATCTTAGCCAACGGTATACCTTTTAATGATTTTACCATTAACAGTTTCTGTGTTATCACACATAGAAGACATATACGCAATTATTATTCGGACATTTGACAGATTTTCACTGGTACTGGCGGATATTATCGATTCAGGTGAAATATCGTACGCATTACCGATCGTCAGACTCAGTTTTGTATGTGACCATCACACCAATTTTATATGTGTGACCACACACGCACGACAGCATAATTAAAAAACATTTATTAGTGATTGTAACTTATTACCTTTTTTGTTTAAGTTCTTGATGGCCATCATTTGTAATTTCAAGTTTAAATACGATTTTTACTTCACTACTTCAATAATTGGTATTAAAAAATTGTGTACCTACTACAGTAGACAACACAATGCAATATTCTATTAATAAGTATTTTACAATTAAAATGCATTAAGATTTTTTTATATTTTTATGACTTAAGCTATGTTTATTCAATAAGTGATTAGTAGAAAAAGATTTGTACACAGGAATACAGTTTCTTGTTGGCGTGAACACGTCGATGAATGTTAAGGCATTTGTTAGTCGAAAAACTCTTTTCACAGTCAATACACCTAAACTAAACCTTCTCATACTATGCCTGTTGTAGACTCGTTCAAATCTGTATTTCTTTTTGGTTTTCCCAATTCGTCTTTATGTCTTTATTCTCCTTAAGTCAACTAGAACTGTTATTCTCCAAATCTAACGAATTCTCTATACTTGTGCAAGTAGAACTGAAAGATTTAACTGTCGTATTTTGAATAGCATGCTTTCTGGGATGATAAATTTGCGAGTGCTCTTGCAATCCTTCAAATGTGAATGCATCAGTAAAGCATGAAGTACATCTAAACGCTCTTTCATTTGAATGACTTTCCCGTAAATGCGCTACCACTTTGGAGGCTGAGTTAATCTTCATATTACAATAATTACAATTCCACGGATTCATTTTTGTTACTCCTTCCACATTTTTTACCTTTGCCGTTCGGTTCGATTTTAATATTTCTTTCGATAAATTTATGCCTTTTGACACGGTATTTCTTTTTATGTGTGAAGTTCCTGCTTTTATGTCTGATGCGATATTACTTTCAGTTGTTTCATATTCTGATTTTGTTTTTTTGTCTATCGTGTACGAACATTGGCCAGAATCTGCAGAGGACTCACCAGTCTCCTTCAGACGTATATTGCCCTTTTTATGAGAAATACTGGCCGAAACAAATGCCGCAACGGTTTTATGAAATTTTTTATGTTTTTTATATTCAGCCAACGAAGAGAAAATATCGAAACATGCACTACAACTCCAACTAGTAGAAGTCTGGTTTACGTTTCTGCCATTACGGCTTTTCGCAGACAACCTTGAACTTCTACGCAATGTCATTTTCTGCCATCTGAAATAACAATAACTAATATTAATGTCCGATTGGTATAGGTGTACTATTCAAAAACTCATTTATTACCCTAGCCAACGGACTATTTATAATCTTACCCAACGTGCTATTTATAATTTTACCATAAATATTTCTATACACTATGTCTGATCAGTACACCGGAAAAATTAAAGGAGAAAAGTGTACCTACATGAACAAGAAACAGATAAATTGACCTGTTTATGTGTCAGCTGTTGCGAAGGTTACGAATAAGTACGTGAGTTTCGTTAGTTAACGTTTGCAATAAGATAACGCGGCTGCATAACTAACTGTTAATTGTTCACTTAACTTGTGCATACTTTTTACATCCCCTACGTTTTGGTGCTATCACAAGATGCACTCTACAGTACCTCGAGATGTTACCTTTCAAATATTCTACATAGTGATCAGACATAGTGTATAATATCATAATTTGCTAAAACCAATTCTAATATCGTGTGATGTAAAACATACAACTCGTTTCAAACAGTCAAAGATGTGACCTTGACGAAAGCTGCGCGAATGGGTAAAGGGAAAGGGCGCATCTCTAACCGTTTGTATTGCCTTCAGTTCTCACACCCACTTCAGATTAGTCTGCTTACATTTTTGTTCCGAACGAGTAAATTATCTTATAAGGATCATGCACGCACTATACCGTAATTAAACAATTTTTTAGTAATTGTAACTTATTACCTTTTCTGTTGTTAAATTAATGATATTTTGTTCAACTCCAAGGTTCTATAGACACAAATATGATTTCTTATTGAAAAGTTGCATACGTATATTTACCAAAAGACCAAATTACCAAGTAATCAGTACCAATAAATGTTCTGTTTATTAAATAAACATTATATTAATTTTTTTTAATACTTCTATGACTTAAGCTATGTTTATAAAGTATATACTGAGTATAAAAAGATCTGTTGCATACTGAGCAGGAATACGGTTTCTCTCCGGTGTGAAGACGTTTGTGCACAATAAGGCTTCCAGGTGTAAAATAGGCTTTGTCGCACATCATGCATTTGTACCTTCTAAAATTACTATGTTTGTCCTGGCAAATTTGCGCTCCACTACGTGTTTTATAAGATTTCTTACAAATTTTACAACAAACAATCGCAGTAGCTCCATGACCTTTCAAATGCGACTTTAAATTATTCACGTTAATCACTTTACCGCACACCTGACATATCGTGATCTTCTTTTCAGAGTGTCGAACAGTGAAATGTCTCTTTAGATCCGATGAATCTTTGAATTTGTTTCCACAATTTGAACACGGAAACTTTGCCCCTGAATGCACTCTTCTCATGTGAAGTGCCAACAGCGTTTTTCCCTTATACGTTTTATCACAGATCGTGCATTTAATCTTCTCCTCTGCATGTACTATCTGGTTATGAGTAGAACGCGGAGTATTATAGTATGTTTGGCAAATATCGCAATAGTTTCGATGTTGCTCATTTCTGTGAAAAACGACTTCTTCCTTAGAGTCGAAGCCTTTTTTGCATTGATAGCATTTAAACGTCTTACCCACGTGGTGGTACTCAAAATGCTTCTCGAGGCCTCTGTATGTAAAACATTCTTTAAAACAGACGGCGCACTTAAATGGCCCCTCTTTTTCATGTGTTGATTGCAAGTGGGTTCTCAGCAATATAGAAAGCTTAAACTTAATGTCACAAAAAGGACATATTGCCATATATTCATGTGGATTCGTTTTATCGTCTTCATTCTCTTTTTTACTTTTTTCTACTTTACGATTTCTTTCAATCCTTTTAGTTTTACCAGAAGTCTTCTTGATTGTTCCTTTTTTGTTACTCGAACAAGGAGATTCGTGGTCATTTGAATCGGTTGCCTTGTCTGTATCAGAACTCGAAATATGCAACTGATCATCAAAATCATCCACCAAACTCTCCTGTGCACATTGATCTCCATGACTGTTCCGAGAACGGTCATTATCTGAGTCAGACAAATCTATGCATTCGTTGGGTTGTATATTATTTCGATTTAGCAAATTCGTCTTACCGATATCATTCTTTTGCAAGAGCTGAATCACGTTTGAACTGATATTCATGTTATCTAATGAATCATTAACAGTTCTCTCTTTCTGTGCAGGTGCAGTAGTCTTTGCGGCCACTAAATTGTTTGGGGGTATAGCTATCGCACTTTTCCTTGTATTTATGGAATAAGAACTGCGTGGAATTATTGTCGATTGAACACGAGAGTTGTTGCGGTGATAATTTTGAAAATGATCTTGCAATTCTTCAAATGTGAATGCATCTCTTGGACATGAAGTGCATGCAAATGGTTTTTCACTTGAATGACTTCCTCGTAAATGTTCTATCGCTTTTAAGGATGAAATAATCTTCTTGTTACAATAATTACAGGTCCACGGATTAATTTTTGTTATTCCATCCTTATTTTTCAAATTCTTTGTTTGGTTCAATTTTGGTTGTTTTTCTGGCGAATTTATGCTTTGGGACGACCTAATATTATTTTTGCAAGTTGTTTCTTTATTGTTTCGCGGTACGTCCGAATCACTACCCGATGCGCTATTGCTTTCGGTTGCTTCATATTCTGATTCTAATTCATCTGAACTTTGGGAGGACTCTTCAGAAGATTCGTTAGTTTTGTTTTTATGTATTTTGCCTTTTTTATCAGAAATACTGTTTTTATATTTTAAAACAATAGCCGCAACAGTTTTATGAAACTTCTTATGTTCCTTGTATTCTACCAACGATGAGAAAATATCGAAGCATGAATTACAACTCCAACCGGTACGCGTCTCGCTTACAACTTCTCTGCCATTTTGTTTTTTTGCCAACAACCTTGAACTTCTGCGCAGTACACTTTCTTGTAATCTGAAAGAGCAATATAAATTAGTATGACTGATTGATGTATGTATACCGAAAATATATTTATTACCTTAGCCAATGGGCTATTTAAAATTAAAGCGTTAATAATTTCTGACACAGTTATTTTCATATCGGATGACATGACCAATATGCAAAATTATAAGTCTCAATTGTATACTACCGACATTCAGATTGGTATAATTGCAACTAACCAATCGTGAAGGGCTGCACAAGCACTACACCGTAGCTACTAAAAATATTGTAGGGATTGTAATTTATTCCCCGTTTTGTCCATCTACCGCATGTCGCATTGCAGCCGGCCGCGGAGTAGGGGTAAAACTGAAAGGCGCTCAGCCAATGCCAATGTGACGGCGCCCATTACTCGCATGAGCTAACAGTGTAGCATTTATATTCTCACACATTCGTGCAAGTGCATGACAATTACATTTATAGACTGTGAAACTCAAAGCGAAGATGAATAACTGTTTAAAAGTTTAAAATGATCCAATGATTTAAATAAATATTGTTCTAAATTTTTAACATGCGTCTATCATCTGAAAGATTGTATTTATTATGTATTTCGTACTCTCATACGCAGATTGAAATTAAAATTTATACTTGAATATGTTGACTATTATTGATATCCCATTATCATTCCCATTTTACAATCATTAATATAAGATTAAGAACGCGATTTTAATGTTAATACCTTAAATCCAACAATTTTCCGGAAATTTACAGTTAAAATGCCTACAATCCGAAAAGTTTCATAAAACCACACAATTTTTCTTGTTTCTGTAGAAACAAATCCGATTTATCCATAGCATTAGGGTTTGAAGGTAATAAAAAAACAATTGTTATTGAAAAAAAGTTTAAACAACAACTAACAATTCTAATGTCAACTTACAAAACATTAAATTCGTTTTATGTTCTTATGACTTAAGCTATGTCTATACAATATTTGCCTGGTATAAAAAGATCTACTACATATTAAACAACAAAATCGTTTCTCTCCGGTGTGAAGACGCTTATAAATGTTAAGGCTCTCCGCTACAAAATAGCTTTTATTACACACAGAACACTTGAATCTTCTAATATTATTATGTATGTCCTCATATCTTCTTGCTCCTTGGCATGATTTAAATGTTTTTTTTACAAATTTTGCAGCAAGTGATTTCACCAGGTCCGTCGGTCATCAAATGTGGCTTTAAATAATTAACGTTGACGTCCTTACCGCACGCTTGACATAAACTAGTTTCAATTTCGGAATGTACTAATTCATAGTGTCTCTCTACATCATCTTTTCGTCTAAATTTTTTTCCACAAACTGAACAAGGAAAATTTACCTCTGAATGCTCGGCCAACGACAATTTTCCGTTACATATTTTATCGTGCATCGTGCATTTAATCTGCTCCTGTCTGTGTAGCACGTTATGAAGACTGAGTAGAATGATATAATATTTTTTGCAAATATCGCAGTAGGTTCGATGATACTCGTTTCTGTGAAAAACTAATTCTTCTTTGGAGTTCATGCATCGGTAACAGCTAATGTTACTGGCGTGCTTCAATTTAAGATGACTATTGAGGTTTCGATAATCATTACCGAATTCCTTCAGACAAAGGGCGCATTGAAACGGTCCGATCTTATTATGTTCTGCTTTTAAGTGATCTCTCAGCAACAGAGGAAGCTTAAACAACATTTTGCAAAAAGAACATATTGCTACATAGTCACTTACATTACTTTTATATTCCTTTTCTTTGTTTGTAAAATTATTTGTTTCAATATTTTTATCACATAAGGATTTCTTAGCGTTTGGATTGGTTGCATTTACCTCATCATTAGAAGATAGAAAATTTTTATTTATATTCGTAGACATGGTAATCATATTGCTTCCCGGCTCAATTGTATCTACGGATTGATTGTTTTGTATTTCAACATGATTCCTCTTCATGATCTTTTTCTCATGTATACACTGAATCGTAGTTGTATCATTTTTTTTCCGATCTGAAGACTCATTAACAGTTTCTTCATTTTCTGAAGTTACAGTGGCATTTGCGACCAGTAAACTGTTTAAAGAAATAATTTTCAAACTGTGCCCTGTATCGGTGGAATCGAAGTTAAATGATTCAGTTAATATCATTTGCACAGGCGAGCTATTACGGTGAAAATTATTGAAATGATTTTGCAATTCTTCAAATGTGAATGCATTTTCGGGACACGAGGTGCATCTAAAACATCTTTCATTTAAATGATTTTTCTCCAAATGCTCTACCAGTTCGGAGGTAGTATTAGTCATCGAATTACAGTAGTTGCACTTATATTCATTGATTTTTGTTTCTCTGCTCGTATTTTGCATCTCAATCGACTGGTTCGATCTTAATTGCTCTTTTGACGAAGTTACAGGTGACCTAATATTCTTTTTGTTTGAAATAGATTTTTTGTTACCCTGCGATTCATCCGAATCACTGTTTGATGCGATACTGTTTTCAGATACTTCATATTCGGATTCTGTTTCGTATGGTCCATCTGAACTTTGGGAGGAATCTTCAGAAATTTCATCAGAATTTATAAGAATATTTTCTGATTTATCGAAAATACGGTTGTCATGCTTCAAAGCAACATCCGCGATAGTTTTATGAATTTTTTTGTGTTCCTTATATTCTGCCAACGAAGCAAAAATGTCGAAACATAAACTACAACTCCGAGCAGGAGTCCCGCTTTTTTGTTGTTTTACAGACAACCTTGAACTTCTACGCAATGCACTTTTTAGTAATCTGAAACAGCAATAATTAATATTAGTATGACTGATTGGTTTAAGCTATTTAAAAATACGCTAATACCTTAGCCAAAGGGTTTTAATATCAATATGGAGAATGTTATTTGGTCATACTGACTGGAATTACAATATTTTCATATCGGCTAACATGTCACACGCCCTACCAATTGTATGTCTCGGTAATATGAAATATTAACGTAAAAATTCACTTCCAGTGCTCTATCCAGTACAAACTATCTCAGATCAATGAAGGAAAATTTTGTTGCCGTTGTCACACCTCCACCAGGAATCAAACAACAGCAACAAATATTTTCCCTTATTAAGCTGAGGTAGTTTGTAGTAAATAAAGAATTGGAAATGAATTTTCACATTAACATTTAATATGTGTCATTGTTTTCATATACATAGTATATACAATTACATTAGTAAAAAGTCGACGGATCTGTAACGTAGTAGGCTGGGTTTGTCGTGGTTGCTGTTGTCATCTCTCGTAGCTTAGTGGTCAGAGCATTGGTGTGTAAAGCCAAAGGTCCCGGGTTCGATTCCCGGCGGGGGTGTGTGACAACAGCAACAAAAATTTTCCCTCATTAACCTAAGGTAGTTTGTAGTGGGTGGAAAATTGAAAATGAATTTTCACATCAATATTTCATATTAACCACAATTAAAAAATAAAAATGCCTCAGTAATATGTTGAATTCTCACACTGGCATTCAAATTAGTATGGTTGTAATCACGGTAGGATAATATGCTTTACCATGGTTGTAACTAAACAATTTAATAAAGGCGCGCAGGCACTACACAGCCATTAAAAATATTTTTAGTGGTAGTAACTTACTACCTGTTGATTTATAATACTTCCGGTTTTAGGATTTTTGTGGGAATAAATAATATTTATACACCACATTGGTTTTGCAAGGTAAAAAAAGAAATATATTGACAAATTACATGCGTATACTATAATTACCACATTACCAAGTTAAACAACAACAAACTTTTGTAATGTGGTATCAACAACAAAGTTATTAACTTCATTTTACTCTCTTATGGCTTAAGCTATGTTTATACAAAATTTGCACCGTATAAAAGGATCTGCTACATACTGAACAGGAATACGGTTTCTCTCCGGTGTGAAGACGTCTATGGATGATAAGGCTTCCAGGTGAAAAATAGCTTTTATCGCACATGGTACACTTGTATCTTCTGATATTATTATGTTTGTCCTCACAATACTGTACTGCTCGATATGTTTTATAAGATTTTTTGCAAATTTTGCAGAACAGCATTCGTCTATGTGCTTTTAAATGTGCTCTTAAATAATTCGCATTAATTTCTTTACCGCATTCTTGACATACCGTAGTCTTAATTTCAGTATGTTTGCGCGTGTAATGTTCGTTTAAAACAGCATTTCTTTTGAACTTTTTACCACATACCGAACACGGATATTTTGTTCTTGGATGAACTCTTCTAATGTGAATCCTCAACCTTCTTTTTCCGTTATATGTTTTATCACAAATCGTGCATTTAATCTTGTCCTCTGCGTGCACGTCCTTATTATGACAATAAGGCGTAACAGCATAATATGTTTGACAAATGTCGCAATAGTTTCGATGATGCGCTTTTCTGTGATAAGCTACTTCTTCTTTCGAATCGAAACCTTGTTTGCATTGGTAACATTTAAACTTCTTGCCGGTGTGCTGCATTGCAAAATGACCGTCAAGGCCTTGATAACCGGAGTATTCCTTCGGACAAATGGCGCATTTAAATGGTCCTTTTTTGTTATGTGTTGATTTCAAGTGATTTTTGAGCAATAAAGGATGCTTGAACTTCATTTCACAAAAAGCACATATTGCCTTATCGCTATCGTTTTCAATCATTTCTCCAAAACTGTTTGTTTCAATATTATTAGAGTTACCATTAATATTACTAGAATCAGGAGATTCCTCTGCAGTATTACCGTCATGGTATTTAAAATGGTAATTATTATTCGTATTCGAGCTCATCGCTTTGCTATTCGACCCAGTCAGATTTGCGGATAGATTATTTTGTGTTTCAAAATGATTCCCCTTCGTGGTCTTATTCTCTAGCAAATGCTGAATTACAGCTGAATCAATTTTATTCTGATCCGAAGACCTATCAACAGTTTCCTCTTTTTCTGAGGGTGTACTGGCATTTGCGACCACTAAATAATCTCCAGTATCTGTGGAATCAGAATTAAATGATTTAGTATATGTCATTTGAAGAACGGAGCTTTTGCGGTGAAAGCTTTTGAAATGATTTTGCAATTCTTCGAAAGTAAAAGAATTTTTAGGACACGAAGTGCATCTAAAACATCTTTCATTTAAATGATTTTTTTCCAAATGCTTTACCATTTTGGAGGATATTTTGGTCGTCCAATTACAGTAGTTGCACTTATATTCATTGATTTTTGTTTCTCTGTTCGTATTTTGTACCTCAATCGACTGGTCCGATCTTAATTGCTCTTTTGACGAATTTACAGGTAACCTAATATTCCTTTTGTTTGAAACAGGTTTTTTATTACTCTGCGATTCATCCGAATCACTGTCTGATACACTACTGTTTTCAGATGCTTCATATTCGGATTCTGTTTTGTATGACTCGTCTGAACTTTCGGCGGAATCTTCAGAAGATTTATCAGCCGTTTTAAGAATATTTTCTGTTTTATCGGAAATACTGTCTTCTTGTTTTAAAGCAATAGCCGCAAGAGTTTTATGAAACTTTTTGTGTTCCTTATATTCTGCCAACGAAGCGAAAATATCTAAACATGAACTACAACTCCAAGAAGTAGTGTCGCTTACAACAGCCCTTCCATTTTGTTTTTTTGCCGACAACCTTGAACTTCTGCGCAATGAACTTTCTTGTAATCTGAAAGAACAATAATTAATGTTAGTATTACTGATTGGTTTAAACTATTTAAAAATACATTTAATACCTTAGCCAAGGGGCTATGTATAATTGTACTGTTAAAAGTTTCAATGTGAATATGAATAAAGTTATTTGCTCATACTGACTGATTCCACAATATTTTCATATCGGCTGACACGTCACACACCATACCAATCGTAAGTCATAGTAAATATGTTGAATTCTCACATTCAGATTTGTATAGTTATAATAACGGTAAAGTATATGCCCTACCACGGTTATAACTAAACAATTTAGTAAGGACGCGCAACCACCACACAGTCATTAAAAATATTTTTAGTGGTAGTTACTAATTACCTTTTCAGTTATAATACTTCTTATTCTAGCTTTTTGTGTAAATAAATGAGATTTATACACCATATTAGGTTCGTAAGCTAAAAAACGAAATGTGTGCTGGGACTCGTAGTACAAGTAAAACTTCAAAGGACAAGTGAAAAAACGAATCCCAACAAAAGTTTCACTTTGTTTTACGCACAGGTTTTCAAATTTGGACAAGTACATTAACAATCTGCCCGTAAAACTTGAAGTAAAAATTTTGTCGCGATTAGTTTTTCCACTTGTCCGTTAAAGTTTCACTGCTCCTATGTGTCCCAGCACACATTTCGTTTTCACAAGTTTACTGCAAATTTTGATTTGGTTTTTACACAGACCGTAAATGATGCCCGGCCACCAGGAGAGCAGAGGTAAGAAAACAACAGCTGAGCACAGCACACGCCGCCGGGACTCCAGCGGACTCCCCACTCTCCACGTGGCTGCGCATTATATCCATCTAATACAGCCGTTGCCCTCTCTCTACCACGGCCAGTCTTTCTCTCCCACCGCCGCTGCCGCATCTCACGCTCAATATACCTCTACCCTCTCTACGCGGCTGTAACGCAGAAAAAATCGTAATATCCCGCGTCTATATAAAAGTTTCACTTCAAAAAGTATCATATCGACAAATTGCATAAGTATACTATAATTTACTACATTACTCAGTTAAAAAACAACTTATGTCAACAACAAAGTATTCAAAATTAAAATACAGTAAGCTCTTCCTATACTCGTATGGCTTAAGCGATGTTTACTTCTACGTCTTCAAATGTACCCTTAAATTATACACGTTGGTTTCTCTGTCGCATTCTTGACACACCTTTGTTTTAATTTCACTATTTTTGCGATTAAAGTATTCCTTTAAAAGAGAACTTCTTTTGAATTTTTTTACCACACATTGAACACGAAAACTTTGTTCTTGATTGAACCGTTACCACGTTAACTTCACTCTTAACTGTAAAGTATTTATAAAAACAAACGCGATTTAGGTTAATAGGGTAAAAAAGAATTGGCAGGTACTAAAAAATTATATAATTTCTAAATGATACGAAGTGAAATAAAACAATAACCAATCATTATAATATTTTGTTAATAACAGTCATTTAAAATTAAAATTCCCTAACTTCTTTTTGTACTTTAATGGCTTAAGCTATGTTTATACAATATATGCGCAGTATAGAAAGATCTGCTACATACTGAACAAGAATATGGTTTCTCTCCGGTGTGGAGACGTCTATGAATCGTAAGACTAGCGTATGAAAAATAGCTTTTATCGCAGATGGTACACTTGTACCTTTTGTAATTATTATGTTTGTCCTCACAACCTCTTGCTCCTGCGTCTGATTTATAAGGTTTCTTACAAATTTTGCAGCATTTCTTATTATTTTTATGAGTATTCAAATGCTTGTGTAAATAATTCACCTTGACGTCCTTACCGCACACTTGACATACCGTGGTCTTCATTTCGGTGTGTACACCGTTATGGTGTAACTTTAGAGTAAAGCGACTTTTAAATTCTTTTCCACAGACTGAACAAGGAAACAGCACCCGTGGATGTACTCTCCGCATGTGAATTTCAAGAATCTTTTTTCCCTTACACGTTTTATCACAGATCGTGCATTTAATCCTTTCCCCCGCATGTACCCTCTGGTTATGATCAGAACGTGGAATACTAAAATATGTTTGGCAAATATCGCAATAGTTTCGGTGATGTTCGTTTCTGTGTAAAATTACTTCTTCTTTCGAGTCGAAGCCTTTTCCGCATTGATAACATTTGAACTTCTTGCCGGTGTGTTGTTTTGCAAAATGAACGTCAAGACTTGTGTAACCGGCGTATTCCTTTGGACAAACGGCGCATTTAAATGGTCCCTCTTTGTTATGTGTTGATTTCAAGTGGTTTTTGAGCAATACAGGCTGCTTGAACTTCATTTCACAAAAACAACATATTGCCTTATCGTTATCGTTTTCATTCGTTTTTTCTAAACTGTTTGTTTTAACATTATTAGTGTTGTCAGTAACTTTCGACCCAGTCAGATCTGTGGATCGATTATTTCGTGTTTCAAAATGATTTCTCTTCATGGTATTGTTCTCTTGCAAATCAATTTTCTTCTGATTCGAAGACTTATTAACAGTTTTTTCTTTTTGTGAAGGTGTAGTGACATTTGCGACAACTAAACAATCTCCACTATCTGTAGAATCAGAATTAATCGACTTAGTTGATGTCATTTGAAGAGCGGAGCTTTTGCGGTGAAAATTTTTGAAATGATTTTGCAATTCCTCAAAAGTGAAAGCATTTCCAGGACACGAAGTGCATGTAAAACATCTTTTATTCAAATGACTTTTCTCCAAATGCTTTACCATTTCGGCGGATGTTTTCGTTACCCAACTACAGTAGTTGCAGTTAAATTGATTAATTTTTACATCTCTGTTCGTATTTTGCACCTCAATCGTATGATCCGATCTTAATTGCTCTTTTGACAAAGTTACGTTCCTTTTGTTTGAAGTTTTCTCGTTGGTTTGCGATTCGTCCGCCGCATCACTGTCTGATGCACTACTGTTTTCGGATACTTCATATTCGGATTCGGATTCGTATGATTCATCTGAACTCTGGGCGGAATCTTTAGAAGATTCATCTGTCGCCCTACGAATATTTTCTGTTTCGTCGGAAATACCGTCTTCTTGTTTTAAAGCAATAGCCGCAAGAGTCTTATGAAATTTTTTGTGTTCCTTATATTCTGCCAAGGAAGCGAAAATATCTAAACATGATCTACAACTCAAAGCAGTAGAAGTCCCACTTCCTCCGTTCTGTTTTTTTGCCGACAACCTTGAACTTCTGCGCAATGAACTTTCTTGTAATCTGAAAGAACAATAATTAATCTTAGTATTACTCATTGGTTTAAACTAATTAGAAATACATTTAATACCTTAGCCAAGGACCTATGTATAATTGTAGTGTTAATACTTTCAATTCAATATGGATTAAGTTATTTTATTATATATATATATATATATATATATATATATATATGTATGAGTGTGTCCCGTC